CTCGATAGAAGTATTTGCAAGTAATAAGAAACGGTCCTGTTAACTTTTCTGGAGAACTGCGAGGCTTTTGTCTTCGAAACGATTGTTCCCGAAAAAATACTGAAAAGGAAGGATTAAACACCGACAGTGCTGGTCTCAATCGGAGCAGACACTTTGATGCAACTGTTTTCAAAAGATAAGCAACAGTGCTGCTATCTGAGAGGAATTTTTTTCTTTTGGAGCATCCTCTATCCTTGAGGCGTTCGCGTGCGAGGAAAGACCGATTGCATCATGGCGCGGGATAATCTATGAAATCCCTGGATAATTTGAACAGCGGAAGTATCGATCTTGGCGAAAAACGAGTAATCCTAGGAACAGTGTAATCGAGTCAGTCGCAAATTCCGAGTGATCCTTGTATCTTCGTGATCGCGATAAAACGTTGAACAGGAAGAATAGAAAGAAGAAGCGGAAGGTTAGAGGTGTTGTTGAAAAGTGCAAGAACGAAACAGGTGGTTTGCTGAACGTTGTTTATTTTCACTTTCAACTTTGAAATACACCGAGTGCTTGAACTGGCGGCGCCACGGTGAGACGCTCTCTCGTTCGCGTTTTGAGAATGACTGTGGAATTTTTTATGAAAGTCTCGGCAACCATGATGCGCTCGTACGTCATGAAAGGCAAGAAACAAATGTTCGGCTCAACCCTGTCGACGGTAATCGATGTTTGTATTCAATTTCTACCCTTGTATCTATATCTAATGTTGTATAAGCTAATTAAGTTCTTGTTATTAGTTGTAACTTAATTACTTCGAGGTTCTTTTCTTTCATTTCTTGGGGCGTTCACTCTCGTTGACCCATTAATAGGGAAACGAATTTTGAGACTGACACATAGCTACACATATGTATGTACATAAGTGCCTGAACCAAAAATACCACGTATATCCCTAGACGTATCTAGGCTTACGCGAAGCTTTCATTAAACCGACCTGTTATTTACAACGAATACCCCGAGAATTCAACTTTCACACTTTGACAGCAGTTTCCTTTCTGTTGGAGCTGGATTATACATCTGAATACGTGTTGCACAGTTGACACGACCTGATTCTAGTCTAACGCTAGCTACATGTCGATGAGAGTCTGATGAATCTTGAATTTCTTTCTAAAGAAACTCATTTCCGGTTGCACGCTGTTTTGTGTCATGCTTTTTTATCTTTACCAAGGGAAACGTGAATACTCGTGGTTTGTACTCATTTTTAGGGATGATTGTACAGGTTTCTCGTAGATTTTTGTGATTAAAACTATGCATTGTATGTCGGCGAACCGATTCAATCCTTCGACTTGCTGATCAAGAAAATTTTCATACTTTTAATTTAACGTGTTCGCGCTATTAAACCGTGGAAGAGTATGATTTATTATAGACTACAAGATATAGTTTGAAACTATGTCTTCTTTATCGATTAAAAAATAAAAGGATTATTGTCGTAGACTGGATTTACATTAGTCTGTCACAGCTTATACTACCGGTCGAGTAGATTCTCATTCGCGGAATCCTTGACGCCCACTAACAGCGCTCTCCACGTCGTCGTGTCATAAGGCGAACGAGCTCACCCTATATTGCCGATTCCAAGAACCGCTCTCCGACAGTTCCGTTCGATGTATTATAACGTGTAAGACACGCTGAAGCCCTAATTATTAAGGAAGCTACCGGTGAGTTTCTGGCTACACATTATAGTACACCTTGTATCGGAGCAGCAATCTATTCGATAATTCCGGGTCACGGAGTGATTTAACTAGCATCCTGGTAACATGCTGCACTTCGTCTCGATGTTGGCATTCGATTACGCTAGCCAACCTGTTAGTCAGCCTATGCAACTCTAATTGATTAGGAATTTCTCGCCGAGATCCCAGCTGCGCTCTAATTAGTAATTAAATTCGTGTGCCAAGTAGGATTAGCTTAGATTGCAACGAGTTCGTCTCATCTCTCAGTTTTGAGGTTGAAATTCATCCCGGAGCCAGGTTTTTCAGATACCGTCGAAGTTTTATTAGGAAAATCACCTCATTCCGTTGAAACTCTAATTGATTAGAGGGTTCCTGCACAGCCGAGACAGCGGTTGGTGCATCCTCGTTCTAATTAGCGATTCCTGTGCCAGATAACCTTGTTTAGATTGAAAACGGTCCATATTGGAGCAACCTTTTTTAATTTTACATATTACAGTCTATCATACAAGATGCACAGACATTTTAACTCGGTCAACCGAGGCAAAAGAACGTCGTGATGCATTTTGTTACAAATATCGTTACATTATCTTCGGTGTCGAGCTACTTTACTTACCATTAACCGATTCCAATCGATTCAACAAACTCTTAGGTTTCTCAGTTTGTGTAAATTCATGTCAATCTAGATATCCGACCCTTCGTGCGGTAGAAGTAGGACAACCAGACTACACCTAAATATAGTAGGGAAGTAGGATTAATCGATTTAAAGTCAGAATCGACTTGAACGGACTGTAACAATCTTCTAAATTGTTCCTGACGATTAGCTACTCCCAGGCACATTTAGTCTGTGACCCAATTGGTTCGTGCACAATCTCCCAAGAAATCTTAACGGGTACTCGCGAAATCTCCCCTTTCAAGAAACTTCTTCTCCGCCGAGAAATCAGCCAAATGCTTGCTTTTAGGGTAACGAATGTATCTATCATTTGTCAAATAGTTGCAACACAAAGCCGAGAACACGTTGCTTCTTAATACGAAATCCTTGATATCGCAGCACGCGACGACATTCGATTTCGGATAAAATCGATGTGGCCATCTCGAGGAAAGACGTTTCTTGGAAATTCGTAGCTGTCGATTGTTTTCTCGGCTGGAACCTGGCAACGCATTAATTCCTAGCTTGTTAGAAATAACGAACATTGTTAAACGCTTGAACGCCGAAGGGTCGTTGAAACGAGGCTGCCAGGTCGCGACCTCACACGCACAAACACTATTACGGACTTACCTGACGGCGTAGGTGCATGAATAAAAGATAATCTCTATCAGGATTTACATTTTCCTCGGTCGTCCGTGACGAACGTCGAGTTTCTCTTACCCTATCGCACTCGTATTCGAGTCGTTGCTGCGAGGGTGGGCGAAATCGAGAAAGTCGATGAAACATGTTCTGTCTGCGGGATATTGTGACATTTAGGTCTTTCTCTATAAATCCAGATAAACTACAAACTGCCTAGTCGGCGTCAAACTGTCGACCGTAACGGTGTCTCGAGTCGTCGGGCTTCTTGGAAACGATCGCATTTATAATTCCCGAACGACTTTTTTTCCAACGAGCTTCTATTTTCATGCAACGATGAGTTTTTCATGAAATATTGGAGAATTGCAGCTTTGTAACAGGCAGCCTTCGATATGTCTGACCACGCGTGTCTATTTCTACTGCGACAGTAGATAAAGTATGTCGAACTACGTACATGGTATACGCGAAAGTGAACGCGTTAATAAAGAAAGTAGACAATTACAGAAACTCGAAGCGCTTCTAAGCGAAAATAAATCCTTGTTAATTACGTCGATTAAAGTTTTAATCGAATCCGTGTATCAGAGGTCACGCATTCTCCTTGCGAGTCGAATCGTGGATTAAAATAAGACTCGGACTCTGTTTGTCGTAAAAGTTCGATCCAAACGCGTTCCGTGTTATTTAACGAGTTACCTGGATCGTCGTAAAAGTTGGCAGTTCGTTCACGTGGCTGTGGGTGCAACAGATCGGACACGATCTCTCGTCCGAGTAAACAAAGCGTCGCTGCGAATCGTGCATCAATATATTCCAAACAAACTCTGTTGAAACGGGATCAGCACGGAAAAACAAATGGAAACTAGCGCCATCGAGGTCGTTACGCGAGAAAAGGCTAGCGGGCCTCGTAGCAATTATTCGAATGCTCGGAACGATTTGTTGTTCGAAAGACGGACTCTAAAGGAGACAGTATCGACCGAAGAAAGGTTAATCGAACGCGAAGTTTCGATCGGAAAGATGCACGGAACAGGGGGCTAATAATTGGCCCTGTAGGCGAGGTCGAGAAAGCAAGTAACAGCCAGCACGACTATTAAGGTAATAAGGCTAACCCTGCCTAAGGTTGGAAGCGTGGTCGGCGTAGGGTGTGACGACGGGGGTTGCCCTAACCTCCACGTTCACACGAACACGTGTACAGACGCGTACACACGTATACACGGTTCTTCTCCCTCGCTTCCATTCCTCCCCTTCGCCAGTTGAACACCGCCGCCACCCTTCGCGGTCCGCATTGCATCAGTGTGAGGCTAGCACTCGACCAGGACTCTTCCGGTTCTTCCTCGGCGGGTTGTAAACAACCGATACCCCGGTATTTGGGCCAACGTTCCGTCCAGCGGATCGATATCCCCGGTTCCTCGAGGCTTTCAACCGGAATCGACAGTCGTTTGGCCGCCGCTTTTCGCGTAATGTCGCGCTCGAGCCGTCGACGCTCGCAGTGATACGTGCACGGTTTCCTTTTTCGCCGAACAAACTTCCGTCTACGAACACGATGCTCGTGGATCAGACTCCTCGATGAGACTGTATATCTACGTTTGTTTATGTATGGATATGCCTATGTATATACCGGGGAGTGTACTGTTCCACCGGCCGGAAGTTATTGCTGAAATGCACGTGTACGAGGTGTGTGTCGGTGGAGAAGTATAATGTGCACGTGTGTCACTGGTGTTCTTACTTATGCCCGATCGGTACTCGTGCTTTCCTAGTAGAACAAAGACAGGATTAAATGGCAGAGAGTCCGATTAGCAACTCGAAACGCTACTGTGCCAGACAGGTTAGACATAGGCTCTAACATAGGCTTTCTATTTATTTTCTTTCCGAGAATTCGCAATTGGATCTTTATCGTACACACTTCAGACTATTCCTTTAACAGAATAAAGAAACGATAACGCATCGAACGTCCGGATAAATAGGAATCTAAGAAGAAGAGAAATCGTTGAACGTGTTCACTCCCTAAGCGAGGATGTATCTTGTGCCTACAGGTGCTGTCCCTTGGAAACGATATCCTCCCAGAGTACAAATTACAGTCACCTAGGATCGGCAGGTGGACCATATTACATTATTCACCGTTCAAGGCGGTCTGGGATTGGGTGATACTACTGCTCGTCATGTACACGGCCATATTCACCCCGTACATAGCCGCTTTCGAACTATCGGATCCAGATTACAACAGCAGGAAGAATAAAAAGTACAGTGACGATCCCATCGTCATCATAGACTTCATAGGTGAGATGGAAGTATAATCGATTACCGCTCGGATTCGGGAAAAATTTCTTACGTTCTCTTTTATTTTATCCTACATCGACGAGCATTCTGGGTTAGAAAATGCCAATGTAGGAGACGAAAGCTTCCTCCCTCGCTCGCTCTAATACTCGAACTTTACCGCGCAGTATGCCTACGTCTCCATTTTCCCTAGAGAAGAGAGAGACCCACCATTCGATACGGTATACGGGAATTAGCACGCGTTATGCTTAGCTCCGTGTCGATATTTTCCTTTGAGAAAATGGTCTCACCGCGCGCTATAATGCTCGGGAGTTATCGCGCGTTACGAAGCCTAACACGTTCACCGCGTTCTCACTATACTTTTGCTTTTTCAGTCGACGTCACTTTCATAGTGGACATCATCATAAATTTTCGCACGACTTTCGTGAATAGCAACGATGAAGTGGTGTCCCATCCTGCTAAGATAGCCGTCCATTACCTGAAGGGTTGGTTCATCATCGACCTGGTGGCTGCCATACCCTTCGACCTTTTTCTCGTTGGCTCGCACACTGACGAGGTAAGTTCCGTCGCACGCCTACACGTTTTCTGAGAATCTTCTTTCCAGGCTGAGTCTGATCACCGTTAAATCGTTTCCAATCGGTTATTCCGTAATATCTGTGCAGTACACGAAAAAAATTGCTAAGAACTTTCGCTTTCCGTTTCCCCTTTACCGAAGCGAAGTAAGACACGATTCGTTATGTAATAATTCCGATCCGTAACGAAACGAATGAAATTTTTCCGATAAAATAGAACGTACAAGGAAATGGTTTAACGAACAATCAGATTTTTCAGCCGAGGTTTTCTAGAATGTCGATGTTAGCTCGTAAATATGATTAGGATGACATGCCGAGCCCAAGTTAAGTGCCCATAGGTGTGTCTTTACCGGATTGGTGCTTAGTTCGTTTTCCCTTTTTTCAACGTTTCTCGGTGTTGAATGATTTCTCTTTTTTTCTTTGTCGAAAGTTAGCCGACTCGACGTATTATTATTATTATTATTATTATTATTATTATTATTATTATTATTATTATTATTATTATTATTATTATTATTATTATTATTATTATTATTATTATTATTATTATTATTATTATTATTATTATTATTATTATTATTATTATTATTATTATTATTATTATTATTATTATTATTATTATTATTATTATTATTATTATTATTATTATTATTATTATTATTATTATTATTATTATTATTATTATTATTATTATTATTATTATTATTATTATTATTATTATTATTATTATTATTATTATTATTATTATTATTATTATTATTATTATTATTATTATTATTATTATTATTATTATTATTATTATTATTATTATTATTATTATTATTATTATTATTATTATTATTATTATTATTATTATTATTATTATTATTATTATTATTATTATTATTATTATTATTATGATTATTCTTATTATTATTATTATGATTATTATTCAATGTGCACACAATCTGTACGTACCGGCAGATGAGAAGGAACTTTGACGGACTCTCGTTGTCTGGAACGATTTTACACAAGTTTCACGAGTGGTACACGTACGTTTTATATGTCTATCGAACGAGTTAGAGTATATTTGTTCGACGTGCGAATATCGAGTCAGTAATTGGCATTCTTGTATACGTTTCAAAATTGAAGAGCACCAACTTTTCTTTACCGGCAAATTTGTACCTGTACACACACGTATGCATACACACTCGATCTATATACATGTGTAAGTAAGTCTAGTCTTTCGCTGTGAAGATTTCTGCTCTGATTGTCGAAATGTTAGATTTTATTGTCAGTTCCTTGTCAAGATTCTCTTCTGTATTCTTTGCCCCGTGTCTTGTTTCTCTCTTAATTTCCATTTTTTTCTCAATCAATTATTATTACGTATAAATCATTTTCGTTGAAACGTTCTTATTTATTCCGACTCATGATTTTCGTGTTTCTTTGATCCTCCGTCGCGAGGATCGTTAGCATACGCCTTTTCTGCAAGATAATTTTCACTCTGTTTCGTTCTCGCGATGCTCGTCCGTAAGAAAGAACGTTCTCAATTGACCTGGCGCTGATAACAGATAAAAATGTGATCTGCTAGTAATCTGTGTGTGACCCCCTTTTCTTTCCTGTGTTCCTTGGCGTGAAAATTAGGGCAGCGTGATGTTTATTATTATTATTATTATTATTATTATTATTATTATTATTATTATGATTATTCTTATTATTATTATTATGATTATTATTCAATGTGCACACAATCTGTACGTACCGGCAGATGAGAAGGAACTTTGACGGACTCTCGTTGTCTGGAACGATTTTACACAAGTTTCACGAGTGGTACACGTACGTTTTATATGTCTATCGAACGAGTTAGAGTATATTTGTTCGACGTGCGAATATCGAGTCAGTAATTGGCATTCTTGTATACGTTTCAAAATTGAAGAGCACCAACTTTTCTTTACCGGCAAATTTGTACCTGTACACACACGTATGCATACACACTCGATCTATATACATGTGTAAGTAAGTCTAGTCTTTCGCTGTGAAGATTTCTGCTCTGATTGTCGAAATGTTAGATTTTATTGTCAGTTCCTTGTCAAGATTCTCTTCTGTATTCTTTGCCCCGTGTCTTGTTTCTCTCTTAATTTCCATTTTTTTCTCAATCAATTATTATTACGTATAAATCATTTTCGTTGAAACGTTCTTATTTATTCCGACTCATGATTTTCGTGTTTCTTTGATCCTCCGTCGCGAGGATCGTTAGCATACGCCTTTTCTGCAAGATAATTTTCACTCTGTTTCGTTCTCGCGATGCTCGTCCGTAAGAAAGAACGTTCTCAATTGACCTGGCGCTGATAACAGATAAAAATGTGATCTGCTAGTAATCTGTGTGTGACCCCCTTTTCTTTCCTGTGTTCCTTGGCGTGAAAATTAGGGCAGCGTGATGTTAATTGAACGCTCAGGAAAAGTTTAGTTCACGATCACGATGCGTAAGTTGCGAGAATACGACGAGAAAGATCTCGGCAGGTGATTTAAAGGATTCCTCCCTTTTTTTTCTATCTATAACCGTCTCCCACCGAAAGAAACATTTTTTTACCCAGTTGTGTAAATTTAAGTCCTTTGTCGTCACGATGATTCTCTCCCAAAAAAAAAATTAATATCCCACGTTTTTTCGTTACATTATCCTTCTTTCCTTTTTTTGAAAGTTAACCAAAAAAATCACGAAATCATAAAGGAACAAATTTTAACCTCAGTTTAACGTTTTCGTAGCTCGGCTTGGACAAGGACGAGGTTAGTTGACACACATACACACCAAAAAGAAAATTACTCACAGGCTGACGTTTTCGTTTTTTTTCTTCGCTCTGTTTCTCTATTTCCCCTTTTTCTTTAATAAACTGCAGGTTTCGATTTTTACACACTAATGATTAAAAAAAATTTAACTCACCAAACGCAGCCACGAATTTTTTCTGTGTCTGTTTCTCTTTCTTTCTCCCTTCCTTTCTTTCGCGCACTCTCTCTATCTCTCTGTCTGTCTTTCTCTCTTTGTCTGTTTTTTAATTCCATATACAGTTTTTTAATTGCTTCAAGAACACGTCACACATTGCGAATATATATTTATATATATATATACATATATTATGATTATATATCTCTGATGTTTTTTCTGCACAAACTTACTTTTCTTAATCGAAATGGTTTTTTTTATTCATTCTCTTGTTTCTCAATGTATTCCACTGTTGACATTTAAGAATTTTCATGCAATTTACATTCTCGCACAGCAGTGCGCTTCAAGTACACAATACATACACACTCGTACACGCGTAAGAAGAAAACTCGAACAACTGCAACCCCACCATTTGTCGAGGAAGTCGACGAGAAATTGATCGACGATTTCTATACGTTCGAAGCATAATTTTTTATATTTATTCTACCGCGATATTCGGATAAAACGAAGTAGTACGCGCGATGGTATTTATATTCGACGGATCATCTCGTGTTCGAAAGCATTTACGCTCGCTCCGAGTAGATCACGTAAGGTAAGGAAACGAGAACGTCGATCGATTTCCTCCTCTCCCTCCCACAACGTGTGAAATTTCTCGATGATGAACATTGAGGAAGCATCTGCATGTCTACAGTAAAGTATTTGCAAAGGATATACTGTGTAAATAGTGTTATTCGCGTGCGATATCCACTTGGTAAGAGAATCGAATTGCATCAGAGTATGATATACACCGTCGAGCATGGAAACCTTCTTCCGAGGAAAAATGCGATCTAAAAAAACGAGATCTCGTTGCTCTCTTTGATACTCTAGAGAACGACAGCACCTCCTCCTCTAGGAAATTCTGCGTTCTGTAATTTTCTGTAATTGCTGTAGTCTCCGAAATCGCCGTTTTCCGGAAAGGAATGCTCGGTAGTGTACCGTAGTCTTAACACTTTAACAGCCTAGTGTGTTAGTCGAAATTGAAACTGCAATATATTAAACGATAGAGAAAGCTGCGCTAAAAAGTCGAAGCGTCGAAGGTCGTCAAAGTGTTAAGAGACATTTTTTCCACGCAACCTTGTATCCCCGAGTATACAAGCATCTTTGTAAGATACATTCATCAAATGTATTAGTACGAATGGAGCAAAAAAACGAACGATGATTTTGAATAAGAATATTTTGTACGATACTATGTACTATATCTTAATTAGATAGTTAATAGTTTTAGATGGTTATTTTTAACAGAGATTGATTTACAGCGAAACGTACGATCCCTGAAATTTTTCGTTTTCAAACGTTTTTCTTTCTTTTTATATTCTCGTAGTCTTTTTATCGTTGCTCCTTCTTTTAAGTAGCGATGTAGAGATTCGTCGGATATTAATACTTGATAATGCAAGTAATTAGAAAATATTTTTCGTAGTTAGTCGATCGACGAGTATTCTATTTCTCGATGCTCGGTTAACCTATTTAACGAAACGTTAAACATTCAGGGTTTGGGGTTGCAGGATTATTCGCGCCAACTTTAGAATATTTCGAACGGTAGGAGCGTTAAACTCGTAAGAAATCGATCGTTCTCTTTCGTCGAAGAAAACATTTGAAAACGATTTTAGCGATTCGCGTTTCCCTAGCCAAACACTTACACGTACACAAGTATACGCACACGCAAATATAAGATACACATAGAAACAGAACGACACGCGAGAGACGCGGAGGATCGCGTAGCGACACAACGAACGCACAACCCGAAAAAGAAACCGAAAGATTTAATCAACGGGATTTGTGTAACAATCGTATGTAAGCTTTTGGCGTTTTCCACTTTGGATTCTACGATAAGACTCTCTTTGTTGGTCCTGTTTTTACGTTGTCGAGCTTTCTTCCCGTATCTTTTGTATATTAATTACGCTTACGTTGCAAGCTGTATAAAAAGTACAACGCCTAATATCGATAATTAATTTGTGTACATATATTTACCATCGAACGAATTCTTTGCTCTCTGTTGTTCTCTAACAATATGTTTGATGATTTACGCTTCTAATACAAACCTCAGAACTCATTGTATCATATATTCTTTTCTCATACATATACTGTATATCTGGATACTTGTTTTCTACACGAACAGCGATCATGTGTGTTTTCTGTCGCTTGAACGCTTCGTCTTCATTCCACTTACGTATTGTTTATAATATTTGTCTTGTGTATAAAGAACGCGGGTTGCTAGATGATACGTACGCGCGAGATCATTTTGTATTTCTCGTATCGTTGAAAGAAGGCCCCGTTTAAGGTAGCAATTATTTGACCCGAATTATCTGGAGGGTAGCAAATACTCGTGACGTTCAAATGGAAGATACGATCGCGACAAACAAGAGGACAGAACATCGAGTATTTCGAGCTTCCAAGATCTTTCACGATGCACCGGTTCGCGTGTACATCGTAATAACGTTACTCTTACTATCAGCGGTGGTTATCAAACGTCCTCGGATATTCTTGGCAGTCCGAGGCCGGATAAAAGACGGCCAACTTTTTCTCTCATCTCTGGCCCGGCTCGATCCTTTCGAACCATCAATTTCTCTTCGTGAAAAGAATCTTCGAAAACGATCTGATCGTTCAAGCAAGAAGATGATAAGGCTTAAATGTATCACCGCATCTTCGATAATTCCGTTTTCATCGAAGCTAACGTATGTTTAAACGCAATGGAACGGGACCGTTTATCGGAATTGTCTTTAAAATTCTCTTCGGTAAGTGAGTTTAAACGAAAAATTTGTATCGTTCGATACGCGTGTAACTATCACCGAGCAACCCATCAGCAAAGTATCAAGTTCGAGATTATTCGTTAGCAAACAAATTAGCCGAATAATTCTGAGTTTGATCGGAGCATAGTCGATTCTGCATGATAAAAATCGTGATAAAGTGTCGTTTTGATCGTGAAACGCCTGGTGAAACACCACCCTGGTGTTCCCTTCGGAATGCCGGCTGTTCGCAATCGAACAACGCTATCGAATCTCGAACCTACGTTGCAGGTAAGAAATTGGAGAGAAGCATGAGTAATCACGTTTGTTGTTTGCAACGATTCTCAACCTACTACTCGTGAGTTGAATCTCGATCGAAGCAAAAGAGAAACAAAATCGTGAACTTCGAGTTATCCGATTTTTCGCTACGATTGTCGTTCTCGAATCGTCGGAGATTTCGTTGTTTTTAAATGTCGCTCTAAATATCGCGTACGAAGCTTCGTGGTTGACCTAAAAATGACCGGCGGCGTCTCGATCGATCGGGCTCGAGAACGACAGTCGCACATAACGACGATAAATCGGACTGTCAAACTGACTTTGGTATTTTAAAAAGCGATTACGTAGAGGACGAATAAATTATTCACGTTTCCTTTAATCGGTTTGATGTTCTCCACTGAATTATCGTACTTGCTCGAAACAGGTAGAGTTTAAACGAACTACCTTGCCGATTTCTAATGTTTCCTTCGATATTTGTCTCCAAAATGAACGAAATATCAGCTGGTAGTACTCCTTTGATCTAACGAATGCATACGGGTCTGAAAAATAATTTAAAGTACTTTATTGTATCATACCAGTATTTAATAATGCTTGTACATATCCGTAGCAACACGTATCCTTATTAAAAATAAATATGAATGATTGATGTCCAAACATTTGCACACCGATTTTTCTGTTCCTTCGAGTTCTACCAGCCTGCAGAGTATTTAATAAAGATCCCCCATATTTTCTTATGCACGAAACATCGAAAGTGGCACGTAGATCTGTAAATAGAATCGTCTGCTATCCTTTAACGTGTGAAAATAAGTTCTCTTTAGCTTCGATGGGAAAAATCGAAGAAAAAAAACGAGAGACTCGTAATTGCCGAGCGTAAGATCGACAAAGTGTGACGTGTTCTTTGCAGACGACCACCTTGATAGGACTTTTGAAGACGGCTCGTCTTCTGAGACTCGTCAGAGTAGCCAGGAAGATCGACAGGTACAGCGAATACGGAGCTGCGGTTTTGCTCCTTTTGATGGGCACTTTCGCTCTTATTGCTCACTGGATGGCGTGCATATGGTAAGCTATTATAAAAAGTATCGAGAAAAATGCATTCGTTAAGTAGCGGTTCTCGTAGATGTTAGAAGTCAAAGTTGTTAAGTCGATCTTAGGTCCCAGACACTTCTGTTAGGCTGTAGACGCGTTACCGCGACGTGTTCGAGAGGAGAATAAATTTCTAAGCAAGATTATTATTTGGTTTGGAAGGTATGCCATAGGAAACGCGGAGAGACCAACGTTGAAGAGTAAAGTCGGTTGGCTCGATATCTTGGCCAACGACACGCATCAGTTTTATTCACACAACAATACCGGAGGGCCGAGTAAAAAGGTGAATAAACTCGATACAATGGGAATTATTGCCTCCTCTTGTTCTGCCAGAAAAATCGAAGAACACTTCACTTTTCGGTGAACCTAACCCTTGTTTCCGTTTCAGAGCCGCTATATCACAGCACTGTATTTCACCTTTAGTAGTTTAACGTCGGTGGGCTTTGGAAACGTGGCTCCGAATACGGACGCCGAAAAGATATTTACTATAATCGTTATGCTAATCGGATGTAAGATTCTGTTAATTTTTCCGCTAATTATCGATCGGTTTCATCGACGGATAGAGGGATTCCTGAACGTTCTTTCTCTTTTTTCCAGCTCTGATGTACGCCAGTATCTTTGGTAACGTCTCAGCGATCATTCAAAGGCTTTACAGCGGTACGGCGAGATATCACACGCAAATGCTTCGCGTTCGAGAATTCATAAGGTTCCATCAGATTCCTAACCCGCTTCGTCAACGATTGGAAGAATACTTTCAGCATGCTTGGACTTACACGAACGGAATCGATATGAACAGCGTTCTGAAAGGATTCCCCGAGTGCCTTCAGGCGGATATCTGTCTTCATTTGAACAGAAATCTTTTGAACAACTGTAGAGCCTTCGAGGGTGCCAGTCCAGGTTGTTTAAGGTACTCGAGTTTCTTCGAAGTCGATATAGTCGATACGCGTAATTAGAGAAATTTCATCGACTATCTTTCTGTTGTCAGGGCATTATCGTTAAAATTCAAAACCACGCACGCTCCACCCGGTGACACGTTGGTCCACCGGGGGGACGTGTTGACGTCCCTGTACTTCATATCGCGCGGCAGCATAGAGATATTAAAGAGCGACGTGGTGATGGCGATTCTGGGCAAGGACGACATATTCGGGGAGAATCCTTGCATATATCCAACCGTCGGCAAATCGTCCTGCAACGTTCGCGCTCTGACCTATTGTGATCTGCACAAGATACACAGGGACGATTTACTCGACGTCCTGGCACTCTACCCGGAGTTCTCCAATCACTTTAGCCAAAATCTCGAGATCACTTTCAATCTAAGAGACGTGCGTATCGTTCGAGCATCGCTTCGCGTATTAATCGCGATAGTAACTAATGGAGGATTTAACGATCGGTAGGAGGAACAGGCTGGTGTCGATCCAATATCAGCAAGGTTTCCTGTCAGCACTCCAACGGACGTCGAAGTCGACGCTAGGAGATTCGCTTTCCGTCCACCAAGATACCGTCGAGGACCGGGGGGTCCTGGCACCAATCTTATCCCTACTGGTCGACAAGACTCCTTACAGGGTGATCAGGAAGACTAGTGAGCATCTAGATCGATTAAAATGTCAACGCCGTGAAACGTTGGTGTCTTCTTTGTATTATTGATACCGTTTATTTTGTTCGTTCAACAGCGACAAAGCGAGTGGTCATGGAATATTGGAATTTAGCACCGACAAAGCGGGCCAAGACGTGACACCGTTAAATTTAGAGTTCGACGAGCCGAAGCAAAGAAGTTCCACCTTGAACTCCATAACCGGTGAGACGAGAATCAAACGCGATTCGTCGATCGATCTTTACCTCCGTTTCTCCTTTAAAACGATACCTTCTTTTACCGATTACTCTCTTTCTCTGTCTCTTTTTCTCTTGTTTGCCTCTAATTAATGTCTGAGGAATGTATTGTTCTCTGCACGACATATAGAGCTCTTAATATTCGAGTAAGGACATTTACGGTTGGTTTTATTTAGAACCGAACGTGTTTGCGTATACACGGATAAGGAAGATCCTTATGATTCTGGAAGGTACTTTTGAATCATGCTTCGCAATACCCCGCCACATCGATGCTTGTCCATTTTACAGAATATTCGTAATTCGAGAGACATAGAATTATCTCGGAACGTTATGTACATATATACATACATATATAAAAAGCTCGGCTTGACCCTTGTTCCCCATTTGTTTCTCTTGTATTATATACTCGGCTCACAGTTCCGTGACATTTGGACCGTTTAACGTCCCCGAAGAGAACCGTAATCTGGGACCGATAAGCAACATTACTGCGAAAGAGAAAGGTAATCTCGAATGTCACAACGCAGAGTGCAGTAATTACAGTTTGCTCTAATTATGCGATAGAGTCCTAAAGTGTAAGCGGAGGGACAACCATTTACTTCCTTTTTTAACTCTAACGCTTTTTGCTCAAATTTCTGTCATTTATCGAGAATACTATTTTACAAACTTGTGAACTAATGAACTACCAATGCAATTGATTCTCGTTGTATCGCCTAACGACGCTCCTTTATACCACTGTGCAAAGCTTCAAACTTTAGATACCCGAGATCAAATTTTCTAAGGTCCTTGTAAAAGTGGCAATATAACGAAGAGTCCATTGTTATCAGTTTTTTATGAAAAAAAAAAATGATGGCACTCTCTCCGTTTCCAAATGTCGAATCTCAGAGTCATCTTGATTCAATAGACACTTGCTCGTGTTTCATAAAGATCTTCGTACATCCGTAGCCTTTTTTTTAAATCTCGTCTCCGTAGCGTAGTTCATATTTCATGAGCTTTATACTCGATCGACGTGTTTCCTTCTATTTCTCTCCGCTAAGAACAGAATCCCTTAATCCAATCGCCTCGATCAATAAAGTATAGCCTGTAACATCGTTAAGACAGCTTTCAGATAATAAATTATGCCGTCCGTATTTTAAGGAACGTTGCGCAGTCGTTGGTAAAGTAGTCGAGTTCGAGGCGTTTGGGTTAAGCGTGCGGCGTTTAAGCTTTGCGTTTGCATTTGACTCCCGAGTTCGTTAACACCTTGAAACCTGGTTGTTCAGGCATGCTAACCCATCTCAAGCGCAGCATACCGGACCTACGTCAACACAAGATCCATCTGCAACCGCTGACGAGTCACGATTACCTTGCCAAGCAGAGTAAGTATCCATTTGGCGAAGTAGACAGGCCAATCCTTTTCTCTTTTATCATCATCGCCCTACTCTACTCGTTTAAACGAGAATCGTTTCGCTAAATAATCAGCTGGCGAGTATCGATACGCTCGATCGTCGACAACGTGTTCATTTCGTCCGTTGCGATATTTTCGATCTTTCTCTTTCTCTTTCTTTTTCTCTTTCTCTCGCTTTCCCCCTTTCTCCTCCTTGTCCCCTTTTTCTCGGAGATAAGAGGCACTTTTAGAGAGCGGCAAGGCTCGTCGCGGTACTATTCGCGGCTCGCTGTACTGATTCTGTGTGCCTGGGTTTATCCAGTGACCACCCCGTTGACGAAACCACCACGGAGAAGCTCCGCCGCCGGCGAAAGCTGCCTCAGTCAAAACGTGATACATCCAACCTCGACGACGTCCAGTCATACCACACCGTCGCCACCACAGCATCCACAGTCTCACGGTGGGTGGAATTGCATCATTCCTCGAATCTTGTTGCCAATTTTTATGGATGATCCCTGTTCCTTGTGTGTCAATCGCTTCTCTTCGATTCTATTTCTTTACACGATTATTCGAAAGCCAACGTTAGCCAACGATTTCCAAGTACTTTCGAGCGTATTGGGAGGGTCGTCTCTCGTCTTGTTTCTATTCTAGCTTCTTGGGAGTCCAACGAGATTTCCCAAGGTTGCCAAATGGTCGTGGAAAAAGGTTCGAAGTAGCATCGCAAAGAGATTATCGAATCGCGGTGTTTTTCGTTTGAAAGTCGAGAAATTCATCGCCAAGGTTCATTCGTTCTCATCGTAGAAAAAAATTTACAATCGCGACGTCGATCGGTTGTTATCTGCTCGTTACGATTTTCAGGTGATTTTCAAAGCGGACCAGGCCGGCCTATAGAGGAAATGAACGTCAGGATAGATCAACTGTCGCGACAGGTGTCCTCTCTGGAGCACTCGATGGGAGAGAACATCAGATTGATTCTGACGTTGCTTCAGCAGACGCTTAATTCGTCGAGGGAAAGTTCCAGCATCGAGATGATGCCCGGAACAGCGCCAGCCGGACCTGCCAAACAAAGTAGTAGAGCCCCGGCACTGGTCCAACGATCAGCCAGCGAACCACAACCCCCAACTGCTCCGCCTTCGAACAACGGAAACGGAAAGCTTCAGCCTAGCACGTCGCACGGTTTGTTTAGGTAACTGTTTCTTAATTTACCTGGTCAGTTAACAATTTTATCGATCAGACGATAACGCGTGAGAAAGATCGCGTTATGGAAGCTTTTAAAATGTCTGCAAGCAATATGATCGCTAATGCACCGAATAACATAGATCTAGGGTTTTCGAGTCACAAAAAAAATAGTAAATTCCAAAAGCCCAAGAAACAAGAATGTGAAAAAATATCTTTCTCGCGCGATATCGTGCAGCGTTAGTCTGTTAGTCGTAACAGACGTAACATGTGTCTTTTGTTTCCTCTTTTTCTCTGTGTATCTCTGTTTCTATCACTGTTTTTCTGTTTCTTTTTTGTTCTTTCTCCGTTTCTTTCTATCCAACTGAAATAATCGAGACAACCGTGCTGTTACATCATTCTCTATTTCTCTTTTTTTATCTCTCTATGTCTCTGTTTCTCTCTCTCTCTCTGTCTCTCTCTCTGTGTGTCTGTGTACGTGTGTCTATACTTGTTTTCTTTTACTTTCTCAAGTAGAAAATGATTCTGTTTTTCCTAGGAAGTAATCGATGTTTTTATTCTTGGAAAGCTTTCTTTCGAAATCCCTGGATCAGTTGCATTTGATTTCGGCGTCTTTTATTTTGGAAAGGTTGGACAAGTTCCGAAGGTGACCATACTCTCTCATACTCTTCTTTGAAATCGTTTTGCGAGCAGTGTCGCGCAAGTAGAAACGAAACAGGATTAATATGTAAATTGTTATCGATTGTTACAAAGTCGTTGAGCCGCTAGAAATCGTAGCTAATTAATTTTTTATCTTTCCTGTATCGTAAATTGTCACTTTGATATCTCGTATCGTTATTGCCTCGCCCTGTTTCTCTGTTTCTCCGTGTTCAACGTCTTTTTTTCTTTATGTGCAATTTTTTTTCTGATCAAACATCGATAATTGACATCGACATTTACTCGAAAGTCGTTTTCAAACGATTTTGGAATGGTTCTTCTTACTTCTTCTTTTCTCTTTTGAAACACTAGCGTTAGATCCATTGCGAGCGATTATTACCCTTAAGTAACTGCTATTCCGAGTTTCCTTTTACCCTTTTTTTAGAATATTGATCCAGCATTTTTCACACTACGCGTGCGTAGATGATTTGATTTGTTTGTTTGCGACATTGGCACGTTTACGAAGCTTGGGGATGAACACGTGGCAAAACCACGACGTTTTATTTATCGATTCGTTTGTTTGTTTCATAACGATGCTTTTTAATTACACTATCGTTGAACGATTCGAATAGAAATTTCCAGGAACATCATTTTAGTTGACCGTGATTTTTCAGCACATTGGAATATACACGATTAAGCAATGCTTAGAATTAGCGTACATACATGTACAGTTTCATGTATAATGTAAAAACTTATCGAACATTCAAACGCTATACAGACTCAATTAATAGCTTGTTAAACTTGTCAAAATTAAAGATAGAAGGGGAAAAGACAGTTTTCTCGTAAACTAACAATAACCGTAGAACTAGATAACAGTTTTTAATATTTCATTCGCTTCGATTGTAATTGACACGGCACTAAAATTACCCTTTACATACCTTAACTATACTTCCCTTCGTAGCTACTTGAAAATATCCCATCACGATGGAACGAGGTAAGAGATTCAATTAGTAGATGACTCCCGCGAGTATGATCCGCCACTTTGTAGGACATAAGTTTTCATTAGTGCACAAGCATACGTATTGTATTGCTAGTTTCGTTTAGAAAATTTCGGTATAGTCTCGATAGTTTTAATCGGTTCGGTAAGAATCGGTAGAATCTTGCTTTTGAAGCACAAAGTAAAAATTTGACTTGCCGCGCGATCTGTCGACAAAAAGGAAATTATCGAGATTCTACCATTTCCCATTTAGTCAACAAACTCAAGACTCGCGTGCCCTGTTGTGAACAAAACGAAAAGAGCGAAACAACGAAACACGACGAACAAATCGAGAGAGTCGATCGTAGAGCAACCGATAATGTCGATGTCAGATCGTCGCGATTACGTAAGGAGCCCCGATCAGCCAGATTTGCGACACTGTTCCGGACACTTAGAGGAATTAGACGCCTACCGAATCCTCTTGTACATAATCACGTGCTTCAAGTATATTTCGCTGCTAGTCACAGCGGCATCGCAACGCCGCTGCTCCCTCTTCGGCAAACGATTTAATTCGATTTATTTCCATGTACAGCAGACCCCCGACGAGAGAGCCAACGTCAACGTCCTCGGGAACATCTCGTTTGACGGTGACGTCGGACACATCCGCGTTAGCGACGGCCCTGCAAACAGCGTTGAACGGTAGAACGGCACCCACCAGGTCGCAAAGTCAACCCGTCGACCTGGCTGTACCGCCGAACACGCAACAGGCGCACCTGCCACACGCCTGGCACAGTCAACCTGCTGCGTTCAGGAGAGGAGAGTTCAGGAGCGGGTAACGCGTTTACTTATTTATTCGCGATTAGTCAAATTTGCTCGTAACTCGAAACTGTACGTTGAAGCAAGGTACGCTTTTAATTAACAGGTACAGCTCGTTCAACAAGCGTTCTGAGCCAGAAGGAGACGATCCGTGGAGCTGCGTGGTGTCCGTGTCGGATCGAGGAGGCTCTCAACGTCCTCGAAGCAGCGAGTCTCGAAAAGAGCCGACGAATCATCGCGGTTCCAGCGATTTGGCGACGGCTCAACGTTCGGAGGGCAGACAGCCGGGACAGGATGGCACCGCGCAACCATCGACCGGACGACAGGAGTCCTCGAGACAAACCAGCGAGGATATATCCTGGGAGTTCACGATAAACGAGGCGCCGATCGCGAGATTAGAGTCTTTGGACGAGCTCGATCAGGATCACGGTAGTTAAGGCCAAGGTTAGCCACTTCCTTTTCATGCACTCTCGGCTCATTTGCGACTGAAACGCGATGCGTGTCGATGCGATCGAGTTTAACGATCATTCGGATGGCTGTGGACTCCTTCCGTTCCCTTTTTGAAGGATTTAACGAAGGTGGCGCCAGGATAGCAATCAAGGCTGACTCTTCGATTTTCTTCTAACGATTCCGCGATTTTTCTCGTTTTATCGCGTTCGAACCGTTATCCTTTTTTCGCTTATCGCTTTTCTATCTTGCTTTTCTACTGATATTAAAACGAAGCGTTTAATATTTTTAGTAGAACTATCTGTTTCGAAACGTTCACGATTTTTCCACTCGTAAGAGGTATGCACCATCGTCGGGGCAACGATACAGTTCAATCTTATTACGATCTTCTACGAAAGTACTAACATTGGACAGCCTCCACATACTGCGTTACTAATTATTTACCAAACTCGGTCACGATGAATTAGTAACTTCAGTATTCGGTTCAGTCACAGGATATTTTCGCGTCTTCGTATCATCGCGCGATGAAAGCATCTCGTGGAATCGTTAGAAGAATATCGATCGTCATGCGATCAGCAATATCGACGAGGTAGTACAAGACGTGTAAAGAGCGAAAAGACGAAAGAAAAGAAACGAGAATCGAAAGCACGAGCGGCGTTTCAGAATGTTGTACACATATACACAGGAACACATATATTATATATATATTATATATAATATCGTCGAAGTTTCTATTCGTATTGCTGCTATTTCCTTCGAGCGATTTTTTAATTAAATTAACAGATACATAAACACGCGTATACATTATCCTCTCGAGGCGATGCGAACGTTATCGAAAAAACTAATAAGAAGAGCGAAAGAACAGTGCGAAGAAGGGACGAATGAAAGAACAACGAGAGGAAATGAATTTTCGATTTAAAAAACGTTACAAATGAAAGTACAGGTTAACGATAGCAGGTCCGAACGAGGAAAAGAAAACGATTGAAACGGCTCGTGAAATGTTTCTCGAATTTCAAAGTCCTTCGCGTCACGGTGAACACGTAGCTATTTGAAATTTAAGAATATATCGACTGAAAGCACCTTCTTTTTTTAATGCTTATAGACGACGCGTTTAAATAAGACGAGGTACGATGCAAATCGAGATTGTATCGATGCGTTTATTGTACGCGAAACGTTTTGGGAGATATCATACACGTGTAGGGTTAACTAAATTAAGAAGGGCATTGTCGAAAGGCCGAGTCGGACGAGCCAAGATGAAACGTTTAATTAATTACGCCAGGGGAGTTAAAAAAGAAACAACACAATTCTGAGTGCCACCTACGAGTTAAAACTGCAATGTCCTTTATACAGACAACCAAAGAACAAAAACTAAGTAAATAAATAAATAAATAAATAAATGATTAACGAAAAAACGCGAGAAGCAAGTGAGACATGGAAAATTATTGCGGAGAGAATTTAGATAATTACTAATATTCTTACTACTATGATTATTATTATTATTGTTATTATTATTATTATTATCATTAATATTATTATTATTATTATATTATATTATTACATTATTATTGCCATAATGTAGGAAAGAAAGGTAAATAAGCGCGACGGAGAGGAGACGCAAAATTATAATACCGACAGTATAAAAAATAGATTCGAAAAAAGAAAAAACAAAAGAGGGAGTAACAATTGCCTGTGCAATAATGGTATATAAATATATATATATACATATATGTGTACGTGTGTACGTATATACATTCGCGCTTGTGTATGCGTAATACACGTTGTAAAGAAATTTTTTACAAGATATCTCGAATTTAATTCATTGCTCCTAAGCGTACGTTGGTTTCTCTTCCTCTCTTTTCGTTCTCAATCTCCCAACTTTGCTTTTCTCGCTCACTCTTTACTCACCCATCCAGTTGGCGATTCATTATGCAGTGATAAGGGTGAAACGAGACGATCGATAATCCTCGATAATCTCCGAATTCGTTCTTCACGACCGGTTATATATTCGGGTTATTTGTTAATTTTCGGTCTAAACGACTCGCAAACCGCCTGCAAGCTGCTCGTAAGCTGGCTCACAAACGGATCGTAAATAGCCCGCAGATTGTACACGAGCGAATCGCTAACTAATCGCCGATTACTCGCAAATATCGGACGCTGCGTAACACGTTCACCGTCGCGTTAATCGATCATTGGAATAATTAGGAAAGAAACGCGACAGCGCTTCTGGACGTCGCTAGACGCTTTTGTATTATATTATAAATACTTTCGATATGTTATTATTCAAAATTAACGATCCCAATTAATATATGCCTAAGTTTTAACGGTATTAAACAGAAATAACAGATACGTATATATTTATTTTAAAGAGATCGTGGTAGAAACTAATTGCGGAAGACGAAGAAAAGCGTAAACCGAGGATGATCGATCAATCACTGATCTATTCGTTCGTTGCTCAGTACTTTAGACTGTAAATGAATACCGATACATTCGATGTAACGACTAAAACGACTCGTAGTTACATTGTAACGAAAGGAGCAGGCGACGCAGCGCTAACGAGAAACAGCTTTTTAATTAACAGATAGTGATTATCTTTGATTATTACTACCAGTAGTACACGCAGCACACGTGGATTTTCCGGCACTTAGAATACACGGCGAGACGGGATATTTGTTCTTTAAAACGGACATTCGACGCGATTCAAAGTAAAAAGAGGGCAACAGTGATCGGAATAATAATTTTCTTTCTTTCTTTCTTTCTAAGCTAAAGTTTCTTTAGATTTTTATCCGACACAGTTTTACGTATCGATTCGACGATCAGTGCACAAATATAGTTAATAGTCCAAGTAACTTAATATCGAAATATTTAAACGATCAATTAAATAATCTGTTTGAAATTTAGACACGTCTACACACGAACGTATTCAACGAATGTATTTCCGTAGTTTTTTAAAACCGCAACTTTTCTTTATCATGTATTCACTGCTGTTCTCAAAATTCAATGAACGACGAAGGAAACGTCCACCGCATGACTTTCGAGAGAATTTGATTGAAACGCGTCACGAATCACTCCGTACCGTTTTAACATCGAATTTTTGCAAAGAATTTTTTAGAAACGACGCGAAGTTGTGTAACCTTCGAAATTTTTCATCCGTACAATACGCGTGCAAAATGTACGATTCCGAACGAATTAATTAATGCGTTAACACCTTTGATATTTTAAGAAGAGCTTTAGTAAAGTGTCGTAAATACGATAAATTGATATTTTATTAATTTACGAATTAAGATAAAATGTCTTTCCGCCGTAAAAGAATGTCAAAACCGAGAGTTCTCGTCAATGTTCACGAATTTAAGGATATCCTTTCTACGAAGAAAATTTTTTGCTGTGCTCGTCGCACTAAAACTTTTGAAAGTTCGCCGATAAGAAAAAGTAACGCGTACAACACGGTTCTCGAACTTATGGTTACTTTTCGTTAATCAATTATTTCGATGGCGATTCCGAAAACTTTTCGAATGCACACTCGCAACTATAAATTAATAGAAAATATAACGTTGATCGAATTTGTCTCTCGCTTTTGAATTCTACCGCGGTCGACCAGCGAGACGGAGAGCGAAGAGAATGCGTGTACCGTTTGAGAAAGTGGACGGAGGTAACGTCGGGAAGGAAGAAAGAAAGAGAATGAGAAAATCCTATCCGCGGTAGATGAATTTACTCGCGTCTTTTTCCCAGATCATGCAATTTAAGATTATTCTGTATTCGCATACATACACGGCGTAATCTTGGATCGTATCGATTATTATAAAGGTGAGCGCACTGATTTGTAACACGTAACAAAGGAAACAAATTTGTTCGAGAGGAAAAACTAGGATGAATGACTGTGTATGAGAGAGTGAAAGAAAGGGGGTTGAAAGAGAGAAAGAGAATGCAAGAACGCGTGAACGACAAGACGATTTTTGTACCACCCCCTAAATCAATTCCTGCTCTTCACCGAGCACCATCCGATTAAAATAAAATTACACGAGTGTCTTTATTCTTAATCCCCCTCGACGAGACAGAATTTCAACGGTACAGGAATTATCGATGAACGAGAGCATTCGCTTGAAACGAAGATACCGCCTCGGTTTTTTTACAGCGTAGCTCGAATAAAAATGTTCGCATTCAACTAATCACTGTTCCACTTTATTCTATTTTATCGGTCATTCGACCTTTACGTTTTTATTTACCTTTTTCAGTGACCAGTCTCGAATAAAAGGTGCTTTCGACCTGACGCATCGACGATTTATTCTTATATTTCTTTCTCTATTAGTTTTCTTTATTCCGGTACTTTCGCGAATAAATCGGTGATCGGTTAAAGGAATGCAGGGAACGGGAAAGGAAGGAAACTCTGACTAAACTTTCCTTCGCGATAGATTTATAGGATTTATTTCCAACAAATTGAAGTTTGTATTCGAACGTTCTAGATTTAACGTCTTTTCCATGTAATTCGACATTATTTATTATACGATATTAAGGTAGAATCGACTGTAGTATTCCGGTTATCATGGCGTTCAAACTCCTCTAAAGAACATAGATAATATCGTTATCCGTTTAACAGAAGCGTGATTTTGTCGCGCGGATTCATGCATTACTATTCTTTACACCCCGTTTCGTACGGTAGACTCTCGTTATATTGCCCGTTGAGAGACATAGGAGTAGAAATTTCTTAAAGTTGCTCTTGAATTCTACCGTAAAAGAAAAAAGAGACGAGCGAAGAAGATAAAGGGTGTGATTGGTGTTACGAACAGGAAGTGGTAGGGGTGTCGGTTGTTTCGTAAATGACTATGTCATACTGCGCATATAAGTTTTCGTATATTGCATAAAACTACGTTTGTTACGTATTTTCACTATGCCGACACGTATTCGTGTGCCTCACTACCCTCCTGCCACGTGTTATCTTACGATTTTACCTCATCCTCGCTGCACCGCGGGTGAAACTCACCCCGTCACGAAAATTTTCTGCGAGTCTCGATAGAAATTCGTTCGAACAAAGTGGAACGATGCAGTCGCATTAAACGCAATTGTCAAGTATTACCGATTGATCGAAGATCATGAAAGGAACGAGTGAATGAACTCTTACGTACGTGTATACGTTATTATACATATTATTTATTTGAAGAAAGAGAGCGAGAGAGAATGGAATTACTGTACGAAGAAAACATTTGTATCTTCTTTTCCCACCTAGTTGCTTACATTTGTATACGGCAAGAATATATTAAAAGATTACGTGAGTAGTTTTTTAAAACGATCCACAGAGTTTCCTTTCTCACGATGTCTCGCATTGCACTCTTTTCGTTTTCCTTTTTTCTGCCTATTCTTTCGTCCATCGATTTGCTTCGACGCTTTTCCACTTGCATACAATTTATAAGATCTTATTTAACATAGACGATCCGTAGATTTCTTATCATTTCTGTTTGTAAATCTATATACGCGCTATAAAATAGACGTTCGTAATATACACATTCTGTAATTTTTTATTTTTAATTGTGGACTAGTTTGTCGTAAAACGAGGTCAATTAATGCACTACGATGCAACGAAAAAATAGTAAAGAGTACCTGGAGAGACGCCGCGCCATCTATTAGAGAATAGCGGAAGCTACTTGGCAACGCTTCGGTTGCGTACTGGACTGTAAGTAAGTTATCTACATTTCGCTTAACGTTAAGGATCATTTATCGACATGTCGATACTTTACCAACCAATAAAAACATCGTTTTTTTTTGCAATACAGGCTTCGACAGGATCCCGTTCCAACAGGTCTACCAATTCTGCGTCGCAACCGGTATGTTCCAACTACCATATCACCTACCGTATCAACTACCATGATAACGCAAACATTTAATATACATATATAAATATACTGCGTATTGCATTCTACATTGTAAAATATATTATACACATTATGTACTACATGTTAAGTAAAAACTAGTTCTAAACACATCATTATAAACTAATAATTATGTAAAAAATAATGTATTTTCATTATACTTACAATTTATATGTATTGCAAACATTGAATAAATGGAAAATAAAAGATATACCGACTATTTATTTTGCGAACCTTTAAAAAAGTCCTACAATCCTATCCTTATCCTATTCTGTTCCACATCAATCGTAAAGCGCATGCGCGACACTACATTGGATAGACAGGTCCACGCCAGCTCCACTGCGCATGCGCGTAGCCATGTTGGATGGGCGGAGCCACACCTCTCCGACTGCGAAACGCTCCGCCTCCCACTCAGGGGGTGGAGCCACCCCTCCTCGAGCGCGCATGCGCGCAGCTCAGCGGGAAACTTGCCACGCGTACCTCCTACGCTATTAACTGACCGCGCTACCAGGAGTACTTCAAAAATCGTTCATTTTATTAAAATCATGTTCTCGTCATTTCAAATTTTAAAACCCGTAATCTCGATTCGAAATACGTTCGTGACACCTCATGTTCTCCTGATACAAATAAAAAATCGCGTCGAGGAATTCTTGGAATTTGATATCACGAAAATTCCAAGAAGTGGCACGAAAGATACCTCCTCATAACTTATGTTCTCCTGATACAAATTTCCGAAATCGGTCGGCGGACATTCAAAAATCCCGGCCGGGAATTCTTGGAATCTGACGTCACGAAAATTCCAAGAAGTGGCACGAATACCTCCTCTCAACTTATGTTCTCCTGATACAATTTTTCAAAATTGGTCGGTGGAATTTGAAAAATCTTGCTCGGGAATTCTTGGAATTTGACGTCACGAAAATTCCAGGAAGTGGCACGAATACCTCCTCACAACTTATGTTCTCCTGATACAAATTTCCGAAATCGGTCGGCGGACATTCAAAAATCCCGGCCGGGAATTCTTGGAATCTGACGTCACGAAAATTCCAGGAAGTGGCACGAATACCTCCTCATAACTTATGTTCTCCTGATACAATTTTTCAAAATCGGTCCGTGGCATTTGAAAAATTTCGCTCAGGAATTCTTGGAATTTGACGTCACGAAAATTCCAGGAAGTGGCACGAAAGATACCTCCTCACAACTTATGTTCTCCTGATACAAATTTTCAAAAATCGCCCCTGGGAATCCTTGGAATTTGACGTCACGAAAATTCCAGGAAGTGGCACGAAAGATACCTCCTCACAACTTATGTTCTCCTGATACAAATTTTCAAAAATCGCCCCTGGGAATCCTTGGAATTTGACGTCACGAAAATTCCAGGAAGTGGCACGAATACCTCCTCATAACTTATGTTCTCCTGATACAAAATTCCCGGTTCGATAATTTTTTTATGCCACCTCCTTGCGTATTATTTTCTCCCGATACAAAATTTGGGATTTGATAAATTTTCGTGCCACCTCCTTACGTATTATGTTCTCCTGATACAAAATTTAATATTCGAAGAATTCTGATACGATATTTTTTTTCGGATATTTTTTGGATTTCTAGATTCGCACAGTTTGAGTAGGATATTTTTGGGAGTGATGGATGGTATAAGGGTTTGTTAAATAAATAAACGGTAAATTCCTTTTATTTTTTATTTATTAAAACTTCTTGATAAATACAAATCATAAAATACAATAAATGCATATAAGATTTTATTTTTTCGATCGTTGCATCTTCACGTATGAGGATGTTCGGCTTGCACCACAGATAGGTTGAATTGTTGCGTGGGACACGTGGCTGCAGTCTGTAACAGTATAAAAAAAACAAATTATTTTTTATTAAATGAATAAAATACTCTTTCTAGAGTGTACAGTGATTATAGTAACATATAATACTTGCCTTCATCTTAATATGTCGTGGAGAAGCAACAGCAGCAACCAGGAGCTCTCGAAGATCCTCTCTCCGTCTGCGACTGATTCCTCCAGCGTCTTATGTGCGACTGTGTTCGATTCTGAAACAGAAATGGAGACAGAAATTGAAATTTTATGCCCTTTCGTATCTATCAATAGTTAATTACATCGTTGTAATTATTTGTTCAATTTTTTCTTCGTTGTCAATGATTAACAACGAAGTTGGTAAGTAGTTCTACGTTTTCCAGATAGATGAAGCAAGTATTCAGTGTAAAGTAAGTATTTGAGTACTTTTTACAATCGGTATAACTTCGCAAATAAATTACACTTAATATAAGTTGTATGTTCTTATGCGTATGGAAAGAGTATGGTTTTAATTTATTTCATTACTTTATTTTCGACTCTAAATCCATTGATAATTATCGAAAGAGATATCAATGCAGCGCTCTTGATAGTTCGATCACTCGCTTATAGATGGCTATAGCGTTGCGTTTCCTGATCGATCGACACTTAGAATCGAGAATTTGAAATTAACTATTTTAACTTTTCTATTAAATCATTATCGATCGTGTTTGTTAAATATGAGCATTCCAGAGAATCAGAATATTCTTTCAAAACTTTATTTAATAATAATAGGCAGCAAAATACAATACTTTACATACGTAATACGACGGTAATCATTTACAATATTTTTCAAACATCGAAGCTAAATGCTTACGGTCGAGCAAGCAATATTCTTTTAAGATCGTTAACGACAAAATTATAATCGCAGGATAGAACTATAAATTGTTTATTTTAATTTGTTGACGATATCGATTTATTTCTCCTTTGCTCGACGAAACAGTTCTCACACAGATTTTCAACTAAAATTAGAGTAATCGCAAACTTACGAGCTACGTGGGCTATTTACAATATTAAATACATTTTTTGGTCGTACTGTAAATCGTGGGACAACCGATCCTTGGAACGGAAAATCCGAACACTAAGGACGAACGTATATACATGCGCTACTTAATTAACTAACTACGATATTAATTACAACTATACAAAATACATGAATTTACAAGCGAGAAATATTCTCGATGCTTCGCGCACGACAGTCGCCCGCAAACTGCCTTCTATGTATACATCGAACAGTGATTGCCACTATATCCGTAATTTACGATTCATTGTTACGCGAACTATAAACACAATCACTGGATTCGTTTGTCTAAAACTCGAGAGGTTTTCGTACTACGCTAATTTTCGTGCACGCACGGATTGTTCGTCGCTGAAATTTACAACTTAAACAATTATCGAATTTACTGGCATTTTATGTTCGTTCTTCGCCACTCGCTCTGGTACGTTTATTAACGTTCAGTAACGCGTATCACCGATACCAGCAAAAATTAAATTACCTAATTCAAGCAAAAACTTCGACTTGGTTAATTACAACCCGGTATTTTGCAATACGTTTAAAACATAACTATTATACATGATATACATCGCAAATGTAACTAACGTTCCTCGCGGCAATGTTAAACGATTGCTGCTGCCCTCAGTCTCGATTCGATCGTATACAATACACATTCAATAAATAACTATTCGTCGACCTATCTATCCGTCTTTCGTTTTACTACGTTTCAGCAGAAGCGCGCAATTCTATATGTACATTCGGACGGCTTCCGTTGACTTTATAATTACAGAAAAAGTAGGAGGAGTCTCCTTTGGAATTCGGGATAATCCGGAAAGGGTTTAGGAGCAAAATCTAGAGCTTAGGAAAGAAGTCCAAGACTCGGAGAAAACTTAGAGCCTACAGAGAACCTAGGGAAATCTAACTAGAGACGATCCTTTCGCGTCGCTTCCCGTAATCGAACTAGTAAGCCAAACCAGTGGCTACTTTATTCGATAAATACGAAACAGGAAGGTAACAGCCGTTTCAGTACCAGGTGTAAAAGGGTTGATGAGGAGCCGGTCTAGGTGGTTGTTGGAAGCCCTGTGCACCGTAATGGCTAGCGAAAGCTTGGTGCGGATGAGCGGGATGAGCATGTTGTTGTTGCAAACTCGAAGGTGGACTCGGTAGACCTACCCTTCCTCCGCTAGAGATCGGAAGGTTCCACGAGGGCGAACTGTTACCCTGGCTGGCTTGCTGCTGTTGTTGCTGTTGCTGCTGCTGTTGCACTGGCGATACCGAGCTGATCGGTGGAAGGTCGGACGAGGTTAGCTGCTCCGACGATGGGTTCGAGTTACCGGAGTTGGGACCCATCATGGTCACCAACGAGTTAGGAGTCGGTGGAAGTTGATGACTGCCAGCCTGTTGGTAAGTCGACGACACGGGCGCCACCGGAGATACTTGGTGGCTCAAGTGGCTGCTGCTGGTCGACGAGGTTGCCGGCAAGAGCGAACTGGAGTATGTGACCGACGGTGGCAGACTGTAGCTAGGCGTGGAACCCACCGACGAGGGTAAACGAGACGAATCGGAAGCCAATTGATGCGACATCGTGGTGTGGTGCGAAGAGTACAACTCTGGAACTGTAAATTTAGTTGTTAGACGAGTGGAATTCGTTGAACGAAAAAGAAAAGATGGAAGCCGTGATACTTTACCTTGACTGGACGAGAAGGTGGTGTCTGGCAGAGTCTGTCCATGCGGATGAGGATGAGGATGAGCGGGTGGAACGGCAGTGGCGGCATGGGGATGCGGCGCGGTCGGTGGATGAAGAACGTAAGAAGCAGCGGGATAAGCTACGGAACCGACGTATCCGCCGGAACCGCTCGACGACAACTGTTTCCTCAATCTGGCTCTTCTGTTACTGAACCAGACTTGAATCCTAGCTTCCGTCAATTTGGTTCTTTGAGCCAGTTCTTCCCTGGTGTAGATGTCGGGATACTGCGTCCTTTCGAAAGCTCTCTCCAGCTCGTCCAACTGATGAGCAGTGAAGGTGGTTCGACTTCTTCGTTGTTTCCTTTTCAACGGAATGCCTGGCTCGCTCTCGCAATCGGAGCCTGAACTCGTTTTACCTGAAGACAGAAATAATCTACGATTAGACCTAACCGTGTCCCGCTGCGTACGATATAGAGTCGCGACGTAACGTCGTC